AAGCAGAGACTTAAGGCAGAACCCGTCCTTGAAATTCACAAAATAACCTTGAAATCTAAGAAAAACTTTTAACTGTGAGGAGCTTGGCGCCTGCGAGACTCGGGGTAGGCCACCCTGCAGTACACGTATGCACTGCGTGCAAGGTTTTGCCTACCTATCAGGCGCCATGACAGCTCGCCAGGTTCGTAAGGCGGCGATTGACGGACGTACTTTCTTGATGATTCCTAATTCGTTACTTTTGAAAAAGAATAAAATAGGCCGTGCCGTCGCACACAGTAGGGGCATGTTCTGAAGGCTAACAGCGTCCGTGTAACGTCACGTACATTGTCTGCAGTCGGGGATATCGACAAGACCTCGGATCCATTTGCCGCTCTTACTAACTACAACCGTCATCATCATCTATATCACCAACCGTTCTTTACACAAAGAAGGGGTAGGAGGGAGGGGTTCGAGGGGGGCGAAGGAGCGAGCGCATTCGTATAAAAAGTCCTCAGCCCTTCTTGCCCCCTTAATCACCTATTGTCGAAGCGGCGTTCCTCTCCGCAGCTAATGGGTGGGGACGATGATCAGCGAGGCAAAGTGTCAATGCTGCCGACACGGCACGGCCACGCCACGCCGCCCAGCCGAGTGTAATGAAAAATTAATTACCATCAGTCAAGTGGCAGCAGCGGCCAGTCAGTTTGGTATCCGCTTTGATGGGCGCCGCCCCGAGACAAGACTAGCCTGCGGGGCGGGGCGGGGCGGGGCGCAGAGCTATACGGACGCACGACACACTGCGGGCGGAGACCTCAACGCAACGCAACACGAGATCTCCCCAGCCGGGGGTCAAAGCGAGTGCTCGCTTTTTAACATGTCAAACAAATATGAGCGGAAAGTTATCTTCTGGCCTAACAGAGTGATTTACTCAATGCAGACAAAATGCCGTTTGTTCTAATTCCTTCTACCACACGCACCCTTCAACGTTAGTAATAACTAAGGTTAAAAATTTTATTTTAACTTAAGAGTGAACTGACAGACTTGGTATCTGCCTGGCATTTACACAAGATGAAAGTTGACAACCCATAATCGTAACTTAATTTTGAAAGAATATACGATTCACGAAGCATAACTGACGTTTATCTTAGATGCATGAAGTCATCATTTAAAGTTGGGGACTGAACCAACACAGTACGCGAAAAACTATTTAAAAATGCACCCGCATCAAAAATTACTGATCTGTACGAGTCGCGACCGAGTTCAGACAGCTGGCGTGAGTCATCACGAGAGCGGTGCCGGGCGATGCAAGGCCTGTCGTGGCCCGACGCGGCGTAACCTGGCGGGGCGGGGCGCGGGGCGCGGGGCCCTTTGCGGCTCCTCAGGTGCGCCATGGGATTCGATGACCCGGCCAAGCCCCGACACCGCCCCGCGTGTGGGGATGTGTAATATGAATGGACATTACGGCCCCATCCCGGTCGCAAATGTCGTGCCACGCAAGATCTACTTGCCAAAATAAAAAGGAACTATGATCATTAGGTATCTAACTCGAAAGCAAGCGAGCTGGGCAGAGTTAAATCGAACCAACTCGAACGCGCTCAAACGTACTTGGAAAAACTATACCTTAAATAACTGCATTTAAAAAAAAAATATACAACGCAATTTTTTACTTATTTTCATAGCATTTTCCATTGTTTTAAAAAAGGTTACGTTGCTCTGGTGGTCAGATGATTTATTCGTTCTTGAGAAAAAGTTTCCTTTTAAAGCAAAGTTATCCTTGATAGAAGGGATTTTGCCTTGTTTCAAGGATAAGGTTTTCTGGGTGTACATAGAGAGGGGAACCGAATTTGATGAGGACAGAGAGGGACGGGGGACGGAGACGGGAGGGGGAGTAGGGGGAGTATGACACAGGCATACGTAGAGGCCGCGGCCAGCGCCGCCAGCAGGTCGGCCCCGCGCCGCGAGGTATGCGGCCCGCGCAGCTGTTCGCCTCGGGGGCGCTTGCCGCTGCGGGGGGCGAGCGGTCGGGCGCCCGGGGGGTCCAGCCCCCCCTGTGGGAGTCACAGGGGCGCCAGCACCCACCCCCAGCCCCCGGAGGGGTGCGCAGGGCGCGTACGGCGGGGGTGGAGCGAACAGATGGTCGCTGGCGAGGGTGAGGGGAACGGCGGGCGGTGGAGGCTGGCGGGTACCGCTACGGCTGGACCGCGCTCTGGGCCGCCCGCCCGCTGCACCGGGCCGCCGCCGCCGCCCCACCACGGCTCTCGGAATGCACCCGGAAGCCCTGGGTGAGCGTGCGGCGGAGAGGAACACCGCGGCGGCCGCCGTGACGACCAGCCGGGGGTTCCTTCGAGCTCATTTGTGTCGTAAAGGCAAGGCACTGCACCGCGCCGGATCGGAGGTGGACAGGGAAAGTGAGGAGGCCCGGGCCCGGACAGCAGAGAACGATGCTGCACGATAATAAATTTATCGTAGCGTACGTCTCTGCCGACCAGTCTGGCGGTATTGATGTTAAGCGTTCAGGAAAGTCTTGCTGACTTGGGCCGGACGGCCCGGCGGTAGGGCGGGTATGTGTCCGGGGAGGAGGGGGAGGGCAGGCGGCGGGAGGGGGTGCCAGCCGCCTTGGCGCCAGCCAGCCCGCACCGCGCGCTCCGCACTTTTTGCCGGCCGGCACAGCTCGGCGCAGCTCGGCACTGATCGCCTCTCGGCACACGCCCCTCGGCTGCCATAAAGTCATGCGCAGCGCAGCGGCAGCGCCGGCCGCGCCGGCCCGGCAGGCCTGCACGACACATCACCAGGCATCGCCCTCCGTGATTCATTTCAAGGGCTTTCCAATAATAGTTTTTCATTTTTTAAGACGGGGCAGGGGGTTAGGACGAAACGTCGTGTCACGCTATTGTCAACACTGATAAGCTAAGTGTGCGACTGCTCAACACTTGCAAGTGTTCAACTCAGGAGGTGTGCACTACTTGAAAGTGTGCACGCCTACCGAGTTGAACACTTGCAAGTATTCAACTTTGCAGTTGCACACTTGCAAGTGTTGGGCAGTTTGTTCACGTGGTTTTGACGCCAACGAACAAAGTGACCCGAAAAACCGCATTAATAAAAGCTTACGTAGAATTTCACCAAGCTACAGTGAACCCTGCAGCAGTATAGCTGGGATGGGGGTCAATTTTCACCTTAATAAGCTAGGGTAAAATCATTGTACGTGACGGTGATGTACACTACTTCACCGTAGCATACCGTAAGCTGTAGAGCTGCACCTGCAAGGTTCAATGTAAGCATACGGTGAAATTCACCATAAGCTTTTAACAGTGCGTGTGATTTGCGTCAGACTCAAATTGTCGCAGACACTTATTTTAATATAACCTATCAGAACGTGAGTTTGAGTGATCTTTTCGTCATGTGGCAAAAGTACATCAGGAGAGTAATATAAATACGGCAGTATTTTTTTTAACTTGTTAATTGGAATCTCGCGCACATCGTAGATGCCCGCATACATGGCGCCGTGAGAAACTGCGACAAGGCACTACAGTGTGAGTGTCCGTAAGTGCGTGTGTGTGCGAGAGTGAACGTGTGTGTGTGTGTGTGTGTGTGTGTGTGTGTTAATGTGTGAGGGCGCGCGCGCGCGCGCGGGTGTGTGTGTGTGTGTATGAGAGTGCGTGTGACCGCTAGACCACATGCGTAATGGCTTAATCGAGTATCGCCCGGATCGAATTTCTAACCAGGGTAAATGGAGTCTCTCACAGGACAGAATGTACCTATCGTTAAGGTCACTACGTACTCAGAAGACACACCAAGTGTGTGCAAAGCGCTCACTCTTCAGTGGATAGGAAAGAGTGCCCAGTTGCTATTAATCATGCCAAAATAATTACTTCCTTTGAGTTGCAGTGCACGGGCGAGTTCACGCTAAAGAAATTCGCGCTATATATGCCAAATACACACCGCCCACTAGAGTATCCTCTTCCTCCCCGCTACAGCGACAGCGTGTCAGTGTCAGGGTTAACAAGTCATCCCTCATCGCTTCGTCACAGGCCCGACGCGCAGGGCACATGCTCAAGCCCGCCTGCGGCCGATGGCCCTACGCACGCATTCCAGGAGACGCCCCTCTAAAGAACTATACAGGCCTTATAGCGTTTCGAACCATTACCCATGCCTATACCCGCACAGAATGCAAAATAAGCTACGAGATGGAAAACCTCTTCCTTAAAAGTTTTTTTTCCACCACTGCTCAATTAATTTGAGCCCAACCACTCCTTGCCCCTCCTCTGGCGCCAGCAGCATGCTTTACGAACATCCAGCTAAACGTCTTTCAATAGCGCACCTGTAATTAACCTAACACCGCAGAAAATTGTCAAGGTGGAATTTTTATTATCTCTTTAACTCGACATAAATAATCTAGCTGCCCCCAGCATGCGGGGGCAGAACTACACTCGGGAGGAAACTCGACCGTAAACAAGGTATATCGTGCCAAACTATGATATTATTTTCAACAATGTGCAATAATGTGCAGTGTTGGTTCCCACAGATTTATGTTAACTGAAAGGCTTGAAAGCATTCCATTTCGCCCTTGAATGCTATCTGCAAACTGGCAATATAAATGCATATTCGACTTTTCTGTTCCCTCAACTGAAGACAATCCAGGATCAGCTTCTTTCATTTCAGCCGTTCACGCCCTACTGCGGGCGCGCTCCTGCGCCACGCTACGCCACGCCCTACGTTTTACGGCACTCATTTCAATGAGTCTATTGTTTAATTACCACCGAATGTAACGCAGCTACTTGTCATTAAGGAAGGGGGGACATAAGAGGGAGGGGGGGGGGGTAGCGATACCAGGAAAGAGAAGCGTTGTCTAGCCCCCCTCCTCCCCTCACTATTTTTCTCATCATTTTGTTTTGCACTGCGCCGGCCGCTTGCGGTTTATTACACCCACCGCCCGTCGCTTTTATTATCAATATGTGTGCGTCGCCCCTCGCATTATTATTATTATTATAACCAGATATTTATTGCTGCCTCTTTACTGCTTGCAGGTGAGGGCCCTCCCCCAGCTGCGCCACCAAGACAACTCGCCGGCCCCAGGAATGCGTGGTTCAGCATCACGCCCCCAGCCCGCCCGCATCAGACATTTGGCTCATGCACGATATTAGTTACTAGTATTCGTTTGTCTTAAAACAAGAGCGTGAGCCCATTTTGTCATGCATAGCAAAGTATATGTGTGACAGACATATGATTCACAAATAAGTGTGTGAAAAGTGCTAAATTGTTGAGCACATGACATAACTTTCATGCGCACATTGGCGTGGTGATTTTTCTACGCTTTTTACAAGTTCGAATGTTGCACTTCTGCGTAGAGTAACTACGCACGAAGTACTCTGGAAACGTAAGCATCGTAGAATACATTTCTAATTTTGTTATGAACAAAGTGCCCGCCTAAGTCCTTTTCCTTCATCGATTATAAAAAACTTCAACTTTTAAGATATTCTTTTCGTTCTGTTTCTTAACAATGTGATCGGGGCAGGGGATGCTGACGACACGCAAGTTTCCAGAGTACTGCAATTTAATTCAGGATTAAAAATTACTTTTCATACAATGTTGTCTTATGGGGTCGGCGCACAAATATTATTACTTTTAAACTGAGCGTTTTAAATAATAAATGAACTAAACACAATATTTATACTCTGAGCTATCTTCAGCAACTGTCGGTATATCACATGTTAAACTTTTCACCAATACATCTAAAACAGTGTCTGTTACATTTACTTATTTCTTGTTCCCTCCTGTTCCCCTCAATACACGTTAACAGAGACACAATGATTTCGCAATAAACTTCATATTTTTAGAATATATTTTAAAACCAGTCAGTTTCTTACAAAAAATGGATGTAAAAATTGTTGCGATTTTACAACAGGATAGTCTCGTACCAATCAACATAAAAAAAGTTGTTAGTTTCATTTTGGAAAAGTATACAAAGTATTTGTCAAACATAGTGTTTCAGTGATTTCGAGTGGCCTCTTTACATGACTGTAGTTGTTTGTTCGTTTTTAAAAGGGAAAATATTCGATACACTGAAAACAAAAGTGTGCAACTGGCATGCACATGGCAGTGTTAACTCTATGGTGCGCTCTTTACGTATTTGACTGTAAATTTGAACACTCAAAGGTATTCAACAGAGAACAATTTTAATAGCCCAAAGATGTATGGCCATCAATGAAGTTAAACACAACTAAGTATCCAACTTTACTGTTAAACACTTTTCAGTATTCAAATGTTCAAACAGTTCAGCGATACAACGTATTGCTAAACACTCTTACGTGCACGCCAGTTGCACGCTTTATCTACCAGTTTATAACCATTATATGCATTTGCCATATTTTTAAAATGACACCATTATTTGTCATTCTTGACAGGAATGCTAAAACTTGGCGTTCAAAACAAGCTCCAAAATATTGGCCTAAAGGCAACAGAGCTAGTGTTATGACAATGAACTAAAAAAGATATTTGAGATTTTCCCGACCTGTTATGGGTAATAAAAAAGGATCCTAAACGTAAACTCTGTGGCTAATCGACTATCAGTGAGAGCCTAGTACTGTGATTATCTCTAAGTTCGTGGGATGAGGTAGAGAGCTATGGGCGAAAACGCAGCGAGACCGTGCGACAGAGAGATAGAGAGAAAAAAATAGGAAGAGGAGATAGAGAAAGTAACTTCGAAAACAGCACCCGCGAGCAGCAGATGTGTTTGAGTGAGTGGGTGTCGCGCGAGTGGGTGCCCCCTCAAGGTGAAGCAGCAAGGTGCAGGTGTGTGAGTGTGTTGGGATGAGATGGCGTTATGTAGGTGTGCCACTCGCACCACCACGTGGGAGGGAGATAGATGGAGAAATAGAGAGTGATGTATGGAGGAAAATTAGAGAGGAAGACGATAAAGCCTATTACAAAGCTAGAGACAAAGTATACTGCAAATAATATAACGGTCAAAATAACCTAGATGAATGAAATTTGAGCCAGATATTAACTCGTATGTGGGGGTAGTGCAATTTCAGGGTTCATACCAGATCCCAAATTCTATTTTCCCTGACTTTTCCCTGACTTCCAGACCAAAATATCCCGTTTTCCCCTGACTTTTCTGAGTAGAATAGGAGGTCAATGTCGTAGAAATACAGAAAGAAACAGGACGCAAAAATTAATTCGTTACTTCTGAAAACTATGAAGAATACTGAAAATCAGAATATTGGTAAAAGAATAGGCCAAGATGGCGTCTATGCTCGCGAGCGGAGCGAGCGAGAAATTTTTGTGGTAATAAATCAAATTTTTTGCCATCTCTGGTGAAATTTGCCAGCATTTGCCGGCACTGAATAGTTTTCCCTGACCCAAATGAAATTTCCCTGACTTTTCCTTGACTTCCAGACACCTTTTTTTTCTCCCTGACTTTTCCCTGACTTCCCTGACTTCCCTGACCGGTATGAGCCCTGTGCAAGTTCTTGTGTGGAATAATTTTGCTCGAGGTGTAGGTGAGACGATTTCTCACTGCTCCATAAAAGCAAAAGATTTTAACCATTTTAAATTTTAATTCTTATTCATGAAAGTCTCACTCACTGATCTATGATTTCGCCCAGTTATGAGGACCCGGAGGAAACTCACTCCAATTACGCGATGACCCTTAATCATGACTTAATAATGACTTAAATAGAGACAATTTCGCTCTAAGAGAATTGTATTCAAACTATTTATTGCTCTCCTGAAAGCCAGGTATTTAACTGCGTAATGTGCGGCGCAACAAAAAGAAAAGGCTACATGACTATTAACCACTGAAAAACTAATTCATACTCTTACTAATTGAAACTCTTCTGGGGTGAGATCATATATAATATTAAGTCCTCCAGACGACGAAGACAGCGCCGGCGTGCCAGACGCTCCTAGCATTGACTCTGCTTGCGTTTTTCCCCTCCCCGAAGCACAACTGCCGAGCACACGCACACGGTGGCACTGCCCAGGCCTATCACAGTCAATAAATCCTTCAATCTGCACAGATATTTCATGATGATCTTGTAAAAAGACTCCAGTTGTGACACAAAAAAATTATGGGAAATGCAGACAGGAGAGTGTAGTGCCCTGCCCGGCGGGCGTCTGTCACATCACGTACCAGTGCGTGCCTTTGTGAACTCTAGAGTGAATACGTGAGGTGAGTACACCTCACACCCCGACCCCTCTAATGACCAATGAGCAGCGCGTAATTGTCCGGTAGTTCAGCTGAGCCCTTTCATTCATATCCATCTTTTCTACGTACGACGGTCTGTACTATGCGCCCTGTTTTGACGTCGATCAGACAGATTCATATAACAGAAATGAAGCTAGAATTTTGCCTTTACCTCATCGTATAGTTATATCACTTTGATTTTTTCACTTTTTTCGCCTACAATGCTATTTTAGTTCGTAAATTTATGTATGTTTTTCAATGAAAGAACACCCATGTTACTGTTACAGATATTTCTTTTGATAGCTTAAGAACTAGTACATTGCATTTGTTGATAATTAGGCCACTTGCGTTAAATGTGGACAAGGGGTTATACTGTGGATAGCTTTTTTAAAATTTTGTAACCCAATAGTCAATTAAGCGATTTTTATTTTATGCTAATTGGTTTGAAGTGCAGATACGTTCTCTATGCCGTCCGTTCTGCACGACTGATTGTACAATTGTTTGGTCGTTCTTAATAAATTAATTCACCGCGAGAACAATGTGAGTATTCTTTCATGGTTCCCGATTGTGTGACCACACGACCAAAGCGTGTCACTTGGAAAGGTGTCATAATTAAAAATTGAAGAGGCTTAATTTTTCTGTGGTCTTATCTTCTTGAGTTTGAATGTTACTTGTCATTTTGAGTACAGGGAGTTAAATCAGTGGCAATGTGGTCTTTTGCTTTCAATTTTTATGTATTTACATCTCTCTAGCCAACAAAAAATTATTTATATGGACAAAACAAGTACCGACTCAACACAACAAACAGGTCATGTAATTCTTTGCAAGAGATACGTGTACCTGTGTCAAAAGTCACGTATTGAAATGATCCCATTAAAAAATTCACACGAGACACACGCGCAAAATTGACACAAGACAATCATGGATCTCTAAGCAAAATATAAAATAGTTGTATTTAAAAACAATATTTGGTAAACAGTGGACATAACGAATGCAATACTAAGATAACAGAGTCCACGTGTCCCAAAATTCACTCCCACAGTCACACACAGTCACACAACCTTACTCACACACACTCTCGCAGGCTCACATACAAAATCACGTTAGAGTAATCTTTGGTTGGCAACAGTTCGTAGCGCGAGAGCCGCTACAGGCATCACGCCAGTCCCTGGAGAGGTAACAAGGACTGTCCAGCAGTTCTTTCTGCACTTTCTTTTTCAAATTCATCAAAATAATTCTGGACAAACTTTTATTATTTTGAATTTATAGGCACGGATTTTGTAACGAAGAACATATACGGAATATCACAATAATTCAGAATGTGGCGTCTAGTCCATTTGGGCTTTGTACCACCTACGACAGCGGGAATGTAGCAAAAAGTGAACAGCCAAAAAGGCACGGGAGGCCTAAAATGACTTTGCGAGGTCACCTCAGAGGGATCGGACCGGATCGGACCACCACAATGTTTAATAGCAGACTAACCCTCACTACCTCCGCGCCTCAAAAAAATGCAAAAAAAGGCTAATCATCCATAAAGCGCGCCATCTCTATATATGAGAGACAGGAAATTGAATAATTATTTTCCCCACTCTGTCGTAAAAATAATTAAAATGCATCAGACATCAATTTGTCCGGTCGTCCGGCCCGGGCCGCTGCTCCTGCTCTGTGTTCTTCTTCCCATTAGCGGTTGTCATGGAAACCACCGCTCCTCTCCCCCAGCTGGGCAAGAGAGCGAGAGAGAGGAGCCTACTGTGCTCCGAATGATGCGGTCCAGAAAGAAGGGGGGGGGGGCTGACCACGGGGTGAGGAGGCACGGGGCGGTACTGGGTGCCATGCTTCAAGGAATTTATCAGAGGAATCGTCAGGCGGCGGCGGGCTGAGATGGGAAGGAGGGGGAGGATGAGAGGGAGCAGGACGGGATGCACCCGGTCACGTGCGAGCAGCGACCAGGTGGTGTTCATTAGCAGAGGATGGGCCAAATACCGGTAGCCTGGAGGTGGGCCCCGCCACGCCCCGCCACGCCCCACCAAGACCAGCAGCAAAAGCAGTAGCGAGGGCGTGAAATCAATCTATAGGGGTCGGGGGCACCGGGGTCGGGCACGTAGTCGATAACGGGCGGGGGGCGTGAGCTAAATGACAAGTGATACGCCGACGGCAGTGGCGTCCCCCAGGGCGCGAGCGGAGCGGGCAGGTGGCATCCGTCGGCGGGACGCGGAGGTGCTCGTCAGCGACCCGGGCGAAGAGTGCGGCGATGTACGCGCGCGCTGCTACGAGATAAGGCTCTGGAGCGGCGTGGCGCGGCGGCGGCGGGCACGACGGCGTGCGGGGGGATTGTATGCAAATGCACTGGGCGCACAACTGTAGCAGCGACCGACCCGGCCGCCGCGCCGCGCTCCGCCACGCCCCACCGCGCCCCACCGCCCCGCCACAGGGCGGACTGTCAGTACAATTACACACAAGCCAAAGACGCGCAGCCTCTCGGTTCACATACAGGAGCGGGGACCCCATAAGGAACCTAAAGGAAATCTATAGGCAGTGATAACCTATTGGGCGTCCATCGGGTCCACATAAAGTACCTAGAGGCACACGAATCCACGCTCAATAAATGTTCGACTACTTTTCTCGTAAATGAGTGTATGTTACACGCAAGGCGGTATCTTGATTGGAAAATATAAAAATGTTCGTCAAAAAAACAAGAAAGTTGTGTGCTTACATCGACAACATTTTACTTGAGGCAGCATGTCCTTCATCAGAGCACAAAATCCACTTGGATCAAGGACAATATAATCTCCATTCACCCAAGACGAAAATATGCTCAGAACAAGAACAACCTTCTTATTTCGAGAACTGGGCGTTCTAAGTGTGCACAACAACACATGAATGCATTTGCACGTCAGCAAAGTGCCGCACAAATCTTTACCAATATCTAGTCCGGTCAATCTATGTACAGATTTACACATGAGCGTTTGGTGTGCACATCCGCGCATCCCTAAGAGCTCCAGGGTGGTGCCCCAGCCGGAAATACATAAGGGAGGTACTATAGGAAACCCAATGCTGGCCGCGGGGCCCCGGCGAGTTGGCGGGGCCGCGCGGCGGCAGACCAGATGGTCTGGTTAACGGGGCCAGCTCTGACAGGTGGGGCGGGGGGAGAGGGGGACAATAGGCCTTGCCGTGTCCTGGCAGCTGGGCGAGCGGTGAGCAGCGGTGAGCAGAGGTGAGCCTCCGCAGGACCTGCTCACCACCACCGGCTAACCTCTGGACCCACCCTCCACATTGACGTTCACGATACCTACAGATCTGTCCTATGGGGGGTTGAAAGTTTTCATCATTGGTGGGGAAGGCGAGTAGGCCGCAATACCCCCCCCCCCTCAAATAAAAAATAGCTTAGACCATGCATAGCCCTAGCCAACTAGTTTTTTGGGGGGATCCCCCCCTACCCTCTCTCCGCTTCTTTCGCTATTCTGTACCTAAAACTAGAAAAAGAAACACAGAGCAGAAATTTCAGCGCTTTACGAAAATCTTAATTGGGAAAGAAACGGTCAAAACATCATTATTCATAATTCATCATTCCCCTTAACGTGATAACACGGTGGAATGTGCCGATACATCAAACTTTTAGTTTGTCGCTTGTTGCAAACACGATATGACAATGTACGCCAATATCCGTGTAAGTACTGTTTGTATAGAAAAACTAATAATAAAAATAAAAATTAGAGTAACAAAATTAATAAATTATAATCTTGACTAATAATCACAATCATTAACAAGACGTACAAGACGTGCAAGGCATGACTAAAAGAAAGCTCATCGCAATAACAACAAACATCAACAACGTGCTAAGATAGCCACAATGGCCCAGCGCTCTCAGTGACATGTAGATCAAATTTAATCAATCGATTATTTAAAAAAAAATAAAAAAATTCTATGCTTGGATCTTAATGAGTTTTATCAACTATCCAAATGAAGATTAGAGTATTAATAAATTTGATCCTCAGAATATGAGAGCGCAGAGCCCGGCCGCCGAATACAAACCGTGAGCCACACGCCGAGCTACAAGCAGGATGCACATAACGTTCAACATATCACTACACACTTGGCCAGCCTGATCCTTGGTTAAGATCCGGTACAATGTATCTCAGCCTACAGAATTGAAATTAGATAGCCAATGCACTTGGATGGTTTTTCAAGGGAAGACCAAAGAACTTAGACAACATTTCGTCGTATGGAAAATATCAAAACGAGTTAAGAATGCATTTCATTTGATATTTTAAGAGTCAGTTGAGGAAAATTCACGGTGAAAATGCTCGTAAATCGAGTAGTTTTCCGCAGGCTGGCAAGTATTCTTAATACAAAAAACACAACCACTACAAACCAGAGACAACCATAAACCCAACTTCGAAATTTCCGCTGACTCGCATTTGCCTTGGTTTTAATGGAACAGAGACACGAAAAAAATGGAGAAGAAAATGGTTTATAACTCCAACTGAGAATGGCAAAACAAACGAGGCAGCTGGAGACTCTGAAGTTGAGTACACGGGGACATGCGTGCTTCAAAAACAACAGGCAAAGGTGGCAGAGGGTTTTCCAGAATCCTTGTTTTTTAACAGAATGAATGTATTTAATTTTTATTAAGTCGTAAAATGAAAATTAACATACGGAAGAAAAAGAATCGAAGTCGAATGAACTGAATAGTTTCTTTTGTTTTTCAGTTTTTTTAATTCTGATATTGTCCAATTATTTTTGTCGCTGTGGGCAGATTGGCCTCTGTGTAGCCGGGAAGGCGCGGCACTCTGCCAAGCTCGCGAAAGGGAAATGAAGTGAGAGGAAGGTGGACAGCGCTCTCCTCGGCTCTCTCGCGCTCACACGAGCACCAGCCGGACCGTTCGGACGCAGCCCAATATCTGCAGAAGAAGGGCAGTAGCAGCCCATTCAAACCGGGGCTAAGTTTAGCCATCCGAGGGTAAATTTAGGCCTACACCTCAGCCAGCGCCGTGTCTCGGCGTGGTGGGGGAGGGGAGGAGGATGCAACCCTTTGCCACCCATGCCGGGAGACAAACACTTAAGCTCGCCACTACACAGCAAACAAAACACGACAACATGCACAGACAGTGTATGGACGGATGTGATTCACAATATCACCAGTCAGTCCACGGGCAGCTGGAACCCGACCTTTACAATACTGAAGATATAAGTTAAGTCCAGGGACTGTTCAGACGACAGAGTCCTGAGACCAATAAATTTTAAGCCACTAATGGTTTTGATGCAACTGCCCGAGATGACATTTTGCTTTGTACCGCTTTTAAGGGGCAGGGGGAGCGAATGGGAATTATAGTAGAAAAGTATACGATAGGGAACAACAGACAGTACAGAGTACAAGCCCTCACAGAGGACATATTTCGTTTGAATGGCACGCCCGTACAGGCACAAAAACAATTCTTACGCAATTTATAATTGTTTAAAAAGAACTAGAGTCTTATATTTTAAAATAAATTTTAATAAAATGGAAAACGTAGTGAAATTTTCTACTTGTTTGGGGCCGAAATAATACGGGGGAGGGAGAAGGGTCTTCCCTCGCACACACAAACGGTGCGCAGCTCGCTTCAGGAAATGAATTTATGGCCCCTAGGCGCTGTGCTCAGCTCCGCTGGGCGCACAGCCAGCACAGCCAGGCGCGGGCCGACTGCGAGCCAAGCTCCCTGCCCCCGCACGAGGCACGCTCTCTGTATACACCATTTTATGGTCAAACAATTTTTTTATTTTTTCCCGAAACGAAAAGGAAAACAATGATCAATGATATTGAATTGGAAAAGAAGGCGAAAAGGGGAAGGACGGGGTAGGTGAGAGAAGCGAAGTCACAAAATCACACATAACACTGGCTATAACGAGAAGATCACTACACAAGAATGCAAAATTAACCCGTTAACAAAAATTTTGTTTCATGACAATTTTTTGGACTAAAACGAGAACGTGTAAAAAATGATTCATAGGAAGAAGACTCACTCCTTGAATACTGTTTGGAATCTCACGACTCAAACATTGACAAGTGCAAGTGCAGTGCCCTTCTCGTTTAAGCCACCGGTGACCTCACCTCGCTCGAATAAATAATTAAATAATCATAATAATAAAAAGTGAAAGAGCACTGGTGCGAAGCTGCTACCGCTGCGGGTGCGCGTGCGACATGTGCGGGAGGCCATAGCCGCCGCCGCCGCCCCCGCCACCCTGGCCGGGGGGCGGGGGCTGCTGCTGCGGCGAGGGGCAGGGCGGCTGGTGGTAGGGGGGCAGCACCAGGGGCTGCGGGGAGGGGCACGGCAGCAGGTGCGAGGGCGAGGGGTACATGTGCTGCTCGTGGTGCGGGTGCCCCGCCGGGTGGCCGTACATGCCCATCATGTGCTGCTGCTGCGCGTGGTGCCCGCCGCCATGGTGCCCGTGCATGCCCCCCTGGCCGCCGCCGCCCCCGCCGTGGCCGCCGTAGACCAACTGTCTTACTTTCTGTTCGTCGTCGCCAATGTTGTACGAGAGCTCCGTCTCCTCGAAGCCCGTCGCCGACATGCGCTGGTCGCTGCCGCCGCCGCCTCCGCTGCCGCCGCCGGAGGACGGGCAAGGGTCAGGGGAGTTGAGGCACGTCTGGATGAGGGCCTTGCCCGCCTCCGAGGTGATCATGGGCTGAAGCTTGCGCGTCGCGAACGTGTAGACGTGGCCCGTCTCCGAGGCGACCAGCAGCATCACTTGCGTGCCAGTCAGCGTCGAGAGCTCGTACGCCTGCAACAAGTAAAACCAAAATCAAAATTACAGTTTTATTTAAGCTTTTCGCTAGGCTTGTATGCTCGGCATCGTGCCCCGGTGGAAGGGCCTGGTAAATAGAACGACTCCGGTCGGATCTAAACCTTTGGGCCAAAAGTGGCCTTGCGGGTCGTCAAGTCAAGTCAAGTCTCCTTCCATCGCAGCAAGGTGGATAAGCATGAGCACAACACACAGACAATGCATTATCCTGCCAGCGCAAAAATCACAAGAGACCAAATGTTTTCGGCCGCAGTTTGGGGGTATGTGATAAAGTAGTGGTATAGTCCACTACTCTCCGCACCGACGACCACAACGGTCGAATCCTGGATCAAAAGTTCAACTGACGCCATGGCACACATTCTGCAACAACTTGACGACTGGCACAGTGCTCCACAGTGCACATGGTCGGCAGGGTAGGATGAGGCGGGGTGAGGTGAGGCGGGACGGGGCGGGGCGGCCACGATGCTGTGGGTGGTGGTGGGCGTACGAGTGTCACAGCAGTGTCGCTGCCTCACGGCCAGATGCGTGAGTGTGTACATTGTGACGTGTGTATCTTGTCTCTCCGGCGCCACCTAATGGTCACAACACTGCACGACCTTCGCTCCCTCAACTGACTGCGGAAATTTTCATACTTTTCGCATGACACCTTCTCATCCCACTCCACCTCCACGCAGCCAAGGTGGCATTTGGAACTGATCCGGGCGTGTCAAACGAAACTGGGGGGGAAACGCCTTGCGGGTGCGGGCTTGCCTCATCCCGCAAAGAGTCATGGCCCCTGCGGCCGGATGCAGTATGCAGACCCGCCACACTGAGGTGCCCGGGCACAGGCCTGGCTGCCTACCCCGCCAGGCGCTAGGCACAGCTGCAGCCGGGCCGGGCGGCGGCGGCCCAGCCGCCTGGCGCCGCCTGGGCAAGGCACGCCCACCTTGACGCACCCATGCGAAAAATGCAACGCCCACAATCCCTGGCGAAAAAAAAAATCAAGATTTCCTCGTGTGGTTTGATTTAGACGTGATCTCTAACCAAATAACAAAAATGATATCGAATACAAGCCGAAAAAAAAAACGACGACACAAAGTGTAGAAGTGTTCGGGCCGCTTTGCCCATCACACAGACTGCGACTGCAGCTGTCACGTCACGTGACACGCATCGCACTGCCGGGCACACAATGCCGCGCTGGGTCAGGGGTCACGGCTCCGCGGGTCACAGACCATTAATCTGGTCACACCGCGGCGCGCGGCGCAAAGCGGAGCCAAACACCCTCGTAACTTGATACACCTTCTAAAGGACCGGCCCGGCCCGGCCCACTCGCACGAGGAATAAGGTGCACGCATGAGTCACAAACTTTTTTTTCACTTCCTCCCGATATTACGCGTATTGTGAAAAACAAGGATGTCATCATACTTTTTTAAAAAATGAGCTTTTTCTTAAAATTATGGGAGTTCCCAAAAGTTTTCCAGATTTTCCTTAAAACATCAGACGTGCTTGTTACCGTACTGACCATGTCCCAGACTAATCAGCGCGATAACTCGATTAATATCTGAGAGGTGGAAAACACCTGAAATGACACCAGCTTTCTTGCCACTGTGGTGGTGCGCCGCGTGGCGCCTGTGACCCTGGCTGGAAATCCTAGTCTAAACACCACCACGCCACACTACACGGCCGCGCTGGCCGCGTGGAGGCGGGCGGGGGCGACCCGGCCGCGGTCAACTGGTTCAAGGACGAGGAGGTGGCAGTGCTCGGCGGGGGCCTCCTGCCTCCAGGTAGGCGTCGGAGTGCGGGGGTGCGTGGACTGCACTGAGAGAAATGTTTCGTTGCACCCATCAAAAATTGTTCGATCAGTCCGTATTAGTCATGGCCATCGAATTTTAGTCGCAGCAACTGAACTTTTCGTTACAGCAACGAAAATTTCGGTTACAGCAACGAGAATTTTGATGCCTGTGTCTAAGCCGGCCGGACTAATCGAACAAAATTGGGTCGTGGGTATCAACATTTTGATGGCTGCAACGAAACATTTCTCTCAATGTGGAGCAACGCGAGCCTATCGGGTCCGCAACTCTCTCACACTGCACAACTGCACTCGACTGCCCTTATGAAGTATGTTGCAAACACAAGGGTCCTATTGCACAAAGTTCAATGTTTCATGAAACTGCGTGTGCATAAGAGTGTCTTCACTTCACCTTAGTCCCAAAGAGGGGAAGGCATAGGGAGAGTATTAATTCATAATCCGTGCTCCGTATCATGTAATACGAACGAATATGCAACGAATATTAGGTTGTAACAAAATTCAAAGTGAACATTGATTATGATTTTAAAATATAACCGATTTTAATCGTAGATAGTCAGGAGAAAAGTTGGACAAGTCGAGTGACTAACTTACTTATAAGGACTTAAAGTTTAACTAACGTAACTAAGTTTAACTTTCACTACAAACTAACTTTAACTACAAAATAAAGTTAGAGACAGTTAATAAGTAATAATGTACGGAGCCCTGTTAACAATGCGGTCGAATATCGTACTATTTCGAAGAAAATTACTGCCTAGTAATTGGCATCGCGTGTCAACAAACTTTTTTTTTTATCTAATTTAAAACAATGTAGAGGGGGATTGTCGATTTCACGACCAAAGCTCGCCATTAGGCACAAAAATAAGATAATACAGAAAACACTGCGAGGTTTAGACACGTTCGCCGCGAGTGGATCCAGGTCGGAGACGAGACGGAGGACCGGACGAGACGAGGGGACCTTCAAAAAGTGGTCCTGCAGTCAGTCTGGCCACCCATGCGGCCGGGGGGACTCTGGCAACAACTGCATCGACAGCTCTGCCAAGCTCCTGGAACCCAAAAGCGCGCACACACACGCACCCTCAAGCGGCGGGCGAGAGAGAGAGCGCGCGATTCGGGCAGATGCACTCTTCGTTGCTCTCCAGCCTGCAGCGCAGGCCATAAGATTCCCCCTCCACACCCCCTACCTACCCCTCACGCCCTCGTCGCTCACTCACTGTCCGTTTGGATCACAAAGTCCGCGAGAGAGGCGCACTTCCTTTCTTTTTGTTGCCTTACCCCCCTTTTATTTTTCGCATTCGATACGTGCAGGCGTGCGCTTATTGGGTCGTTCGCAGAACGGCGCGGCGTCCCGACAGTCCGACTGCAGCATTGACCGGCCCCGGGACGGGACGGTCAGCGGCCGCCAGCGGCGGAGGCGGCGACTTACAGCCAGCGTCACCCCTAACCTGCGCCACATGACAACAAAGTTTGCTGACTTGCCATTAGAGAACGACACCTCCCCATCCTGCGAGTTTCAGTGGTCTGCCCAAAATGGTTTTGGCGCGCGAGTGCGCGTCGTCATACCTTATCGCCACCTTCGCGTTAGCCCAGGCCCTTCCCCCTCCCCCCCCCCCTCCCCGCCTCGGCGCCAACCCCGCCTGAAAGCACCACCACACGTGGTCGGAGACGACCCCAGGCGAGATTTAAGACCCACTCGCGACGGCACGCCGGCCCTACATAATTGCTTACGATGTAATTGGCGGCCGTAAAGATCGGCTATTTTACATTAACGTTACTGCCCATTGTTGGCGCCGCACCGGGGCCGTCCGTCAATTAACGTGACGCACTTCTTATCGGGGCGTCCCGGGCGCCGCTGCGAGCTGGAGGGAGAGCGGCAGCGAGCTTGGGGGCGGTCCCCCTGAGCCCCCAGGGTGCCCTCGCCGCCCTGCCCGTGCAGAAAAAATATTACTCAAAGAACGACGCTTCAAATTTTATATTGTTAAAACTGTTTTTCGAAACTACGTTGTCCCAGGCTGTCCGCACACAGTGTTCGTTTGTTGTTGGCTTCATTTTATAATCGCGCAATGCAAGGAAAGGAGCAGGTTGTAAGCTGACATGCCGGTGACAGACACCTCCCGCCCGCTGTTTGAATCCAGGAACCCAGGGGCTCTGCGTACCGAAAACGAGTGGCGTGAGGGTTGGACCAACCCAAATAAACATGCCAACGTGGATCGAACTACGATATGGAACAAAAATAAAAATGTTCGCATCATAATTGTTTTTGAACGTGAGATTCCTTAACGGTGCGCCCCCCGCCAAATATTTTATCCCACGCATTCATTCACGCGCACGCGGTCGCACAAACCAGCGACCAAACGTTTTGGCCGGTTGTAAAACTGATTCTCGTCTTTTACGACTCTAAAGCGTTTTTCCTATCGGCGCGACGGGCATACAATAATCAAATTTGCGACAACGTCGTATTTCGCGATCCGGCGTGTGAGTGTGAGACCCCTGCCCTGGAGGCCCGAGTTTCAAACCCGGTAAACCTTGGCGTAAACAAAACAAAATTGTACCAGGAGGAAGGGGGGGGGGGGGGGCCTTTTTGAGTAGCAATGGTCGCCACTAGGATGATTTTTTCGGCGCGCTGCTGCAAGACTCGCCGCCGTCACTACCGAGGTAAACATGACCACGCGCTTAACGCGATTTACATACTGACACTGCCTCGAAGCAAGCGCCCGCCTGGAGTTGTCCTGGAGGACACATTCTATCCCACTCACTCGCCGGCGACGCCGCCCTCGCTCTCGGCGTGGTGCATCTCTCTCGCACTGAGCCCGTGCTGCGGCTTCTGGGCAACGTTCAGCGGAGAACCACCCCACCCTACTCTCCCTCCTGAACCTGCTAAACACCCCTCCCATCCTCTCCTCTCAACTTCCAGTCCACGTACCTATCTCAAATCAGCTGATTGCTGTACATCTATCATTTCAACTGTGCCGGCGCACTGAAAAAAAAAATGTGACAAAAAAGAGAATGTAATGGTAAGATAGTTTTACAACCATCTCATCAAAGATTTTTTGTGGCTTCTGTTAAATGAGAGCAACAATAAAATCCGTCATGAGAAGTTTGTAAAAATGTTTAGCCATGGTATTCTTATTTCCATCAAAATTGTTTTTTACAGTGCAACTACCGCAGGACGAAATTAGCAACTGCAAAGTTATGGTAAAAGCTTGGCCAGTTTTGAAAGCAGAACAAGAAAAGGGTGTGTGACTGAGAAGACGTCGGTGCATGAGGGCATGTCTACTAGCCGGTGCCATAGCCAGCATACACCGACATTCCCTGTTACCTGTTACATCCAGTTGTGTGCTTTATGAAATTAATATACCATGTATAAACATAAAAAAATGTTTTGAGTAAAAGATAGCAGTGTCCTGATTATCACTTGTAAAGAAACTGTGATTTAAATTAGACTTGGCCATAAAATTGGACTATCATCAATAGAATGTCATTAAATTATTTCACCAATTTCATACACTCACTTTCAAAAGTATGGAGTCAACTTTTCTGTAATGATATTCCAATTACAAACGTAATCATTGCTATGGTTTTGGGACACAAACATATATCTAAGAAATACTAGACCCAAGAATTTAGTGAATAAAGAATTAGCAAAACCCGAATAATGACCGAATGTTAAAATACTCTTCTTTTTTCTCCAAATACACTTTACGGTATTAATAGAGATAGAGAGACAGGAGAAGAATAGTGTAACTCGGACATTTACCAGAACCACAAGAGAGGATCTGCTTTTAATTTCACTCCAAGTAGCAATTTATTTTTATCTGTTTTGCGTGAGATGGTAGATAAATTTTAGGAGAAACAAAAGTGAGGTTATACTTGAATTGTCCTTAAGATATTTGACAATTGAAATAAACAGCTAAGGGAATTAATGAAATATCATTTAGCAAATGTTTAAAAACCCTTCTTCTTCTGAAGACAGTTATTTTACAGCTTGTCGACTATATTTTGACAGTTCAAGGTTATCACGAAGTTAGGGATAGTTCACATACATTTTAATAATAATGAGGCTCTAGTACCAGATGTTAGAAGAATCAATATTATTGCTTACTTGAAAAGACAAGATTTATTTCATCTTACTAAGCAGCTAAAGAATGGACTTTGACATTTCACTTGATAAACGTCCACACAAATGACAAGGGAATTATGAACTGATGGTAGTAGGATCAGTACCTAAACAAAATATTCAATGATAACTTAAAAATCTAACTTCAGAAAATGCTCAGGAAAAATAGGACCCATATAACAATCAGAAATATTTACTCCAGAAACATTTTTCCAAAACAAAGGCCAAGCCAACCTAAAGTGATCACTTCTTTTCATGAAAATAAATAAACGTCAGAACCACCCCAAGAGCGCAATATACCCTCCCTAGGCTGAAAAAATTAATTCGAACATAAAAAAGGCATAACATATGTCTGAAACGGCGTAGAACATCGTAATGATTCAATGGAGAGTCGCGGACCATGGGGAACATAACCTCTCTCGAAGGCTGGGCGACAGGCAGCCGGGGCCGCCGGGATGCACAGGGATGTAAACAAACGTTGACCGCGGCCGGCGCGCACCTCGACAGCCACCCCGCGGCAACGCACCAGCTCCTGGGGGCCTCACGGACCTGCACTAGGGCGCCGGATTACCGCGACTAGTTAAAAGTGTGTGAAAATCACTTGGAGAGTCGACACTGGACGGGGCCATCACCTAACGAGACACTCGCCTCTGGTGGCACCGGAGTCCTCGTGCAGCTCGTTACGTCCGCCCAGAGGAGGACAAGGAGTGCAACGGCGTGACAGTCACTGACAGTCACTGACAGCCCGTCAGCCCGCCGGCGCGGGGGCCGCGCGGGTAGGGCGGCCAGCCCCAGGCCGCCGCGCAAGGCACTAGAGCACTGCACCGCGACGGGAATAGAACGGCCCGCGAGCACCGCGTCGACCTGGGGCGGGGTAGGCGGCCGCGCCCGCTCATGGCCCGTCCGAAATAGGAGCACCACACACGTCGCCCTCCGGCACAGCGCAGCTGGAGGCACTCTTTACCTTTTTCATTATGCCTGTCTTCCGCTTCGAGAAGGTGGTGTACCTCCTCAGCTTGTTGTCGATGTACTCCATTTTGATCTTGACGCGGCCTTTGGTCTTCTTGCCGTTGGGGGGCGGGCCGCTCTTCTGGGGCGCGGGCGAGTAGCCGCCGTCGTCCATAAGGTCCGCGCCGCAGTCGAGGCCGCCGCCGCCGCGGCCCGACACGCCCCCGTCCAGGAAGCACACGTCCGAGGAGGTGCGCTTGAGTCCGCGCGGAGGGCCGCCGCCGGCGGGCCCGCACGTGCCCGTCAGCCCGCCGCCCATGCCGCCCAGGGAGGCCGACGACGACCGGCCGCCACCGTACATGTCCGGGGATGTGTCTCCGCCCAGGAGGGACATGTTGTACCCCAGGTTGAAGCGGCCGTCCCGGCCGGCTGAGGTATCCATGCTCGCGCTTGGGTCACCCCCGTGTCATAGCCGCCCGGCGCACGGGGGTAGCAACACACTTCACAAACACGCACTTCTTGAGCACCACCGCGACGACGGCGCGCGCTCGGCTCCGCACACGCAACGCGCTGAGCTCCGCGACACCAGCTGGCTCGGCTCGGCTCGGCTCGACTCCACCGGCGGAGAGAGGAGAGGCACTGCCGCCGCGCTGCCCCGCACCCCGCGCCCCGCGCCCCCCACCGCCGCACCGCCCGGCCCGGCAGCCTCCACCACCGCAGCTTCGCCGGCGGTGGCGGCGGTGGTCGCGGCGGCGGCAGCGGCTCACCCCCTTCACCCCCCTCTCCTTCCTCCGCCCGTAACCTGACCGGCGGCGCTGGGCTGTTCCCGAAACTGTTCGGCCGCAGCGCCGCGACGTGGGACTCCCCCGCGGCGCGAGCGGGACGGAGCTCGCGCGCCCCGCACGCGGTCCGGACTAGCTGCAAAGTAGTCCCGCGGCCGCGGCCTGCGGCCCGCGCACGGCCGTTCTTACTCGCTATAGGGCGATGGTCGCGCGGGCACCGAGGGCCCGGGTGTCAACCGAATATTGAGGGGCGCGAGCTGACGTGGAGGTGTCCCTCCGGAAGGGCTTCCCCCTCCTCGCCTCCCCTCCCTCACCTCTGCGTCCTTGTCCGACTGCCGGGCGCCGCGCGGCCCGTGCGACAGAGAGCCCGCGCGCGGAGGGATACACCCCCTTCGCCCCGCGGGCCGCTCGCGGGCTCTCCCTCCCTCCCCCCTCCACTCTCCCATATTTAGAAGTCGGCTCTGCCAAATTTGGTAAAGTCCTCCGAATATGGCGAGCGGCGCCGGGTCGCGCGGGGCCGAGGATTCACCCTCAGCTGCCGCGCCGATTTGACTGACGTTGACGTCGGCGCGCGTGTCAGGCGGGCTCAGGGCGGGCCCCGCCCGGGTCACTGACGGGCCTCGCTGACCAGCCCGGCGCGGTGACCCCGGCGGTGCCCGGCGCGCCGTCCCTCCCTCTGTGTCCGGGACCTCCTTCCTGCTAGCCGCCCCCGCCCTGGGCGGCCCCTGGCGTGCCTCTCCCCGCGGCCTGACGGCAAGGGTTGGGGGCGGGGGGAAGGGGTCTAAAACAAGACGTCCTGGCGCGGCGATGGGACCCGCGGGGCCCGGGACCGCCAGGACGCCATATCTCTCACCTCCCAGCCAAGGCAGCCGCAGGCGACCGGGCGCCGGCGTGGCTGCCACCACCAACACTAGCAGGGCGTCGACGGGCGACGAGCAGAGGCCACGCTACACTAGATGGCTCGAGGCGTAAAGAGTGCGGCCCATTCAGAATTTCCCGCCCCACGGAAGGCTGCTATTTTGCGCAACGACGATGGTATCGATAGGATCGATAGCAAGAGATAAGATAACAGGTCCCAGCTTGCGCCACCAAAATCGCTCTTGACGCCAGCGCCAGTGTTAGGGTGTAAAGCTACATCGAAGACTGCAAGAAGCAGATGTATTGCTCGCCAGCTGAAAACGAATTACGAACGAACCCCCAAAACAATCATTTCACAGCTCCCCGTACCTCATCTATAGCCTTACCGTGACTTATCAGGTTTGTCCCTCTCGTATTTTGTTCACCTCGATTAGCCTATTCATGCCGCCGCTGTTCGAACGGGACACAGGAAGGGCAGCCGGCAACGTGGAAAAACAAATAATCGTCTAGAGGGTGGTTGCTGTTGCCCGTCCCGGCAAACGCGTATTATACTAGCAAGCACACACCCGTTGCGGGCGGGTTTGCCTATCGTCTGCAGCCATGGTGCCAAATGGCCATGAGCGAATATGCCACCCGTCCGCACCCGAATGCGGTCTTTAGTAGACGCGGGGCACAGCGAACACCTTGTATAAACGAAAATAAAAATCTTTGCTTGGCATCTCTTCGGGATTAGCAGAATGCCACATGACTGACATCTCGCTGCGACCAGCGTTTCGTCTGTATCGGCCTGAAACCCTGAAGTTGCACCCACAGCTGCACCCAGCTGTCCCGCTCTGGTGTCGCGCCCGCTCCCCCACGCGCCCCCGCGCGTCGACTGGTGGTAGGCTAGTTCGCTCCGTCGCCGGCCACCGCCGCGGCGCCACCGTCTGGAGGCCGCCAGCACGTCAGACGCCGGCCGGCTCGCGGCCGGGAGGCGGGGCCCCGTCACCGCGGCCTCCGCGGCCTCCGCGCGCGGGGCGGAGCCGGGCGGAGCCAGCGTGACCCACTGGGCGGGGCGGACTTTTTAACGCCCCTCCCCCTCTCTGGAGAAATGAAAGGATTTAAAGTATGTAAACAGAAAACACATTTCCCTCGCACCGCGACCGCGGACGCGGCTGTAGTCGATATCTTTTGTCCGAACACAAACATTGCACGCACTTTGACTGAAGCTTCTGCTGCCGCTCCAGAGCCGGGCCTCTCCGGGCCCTCGCAGCAGTCCCGGCAGCAGCCGAGTCCTCTTGTTTTGATTCGGCCGCTGCATTGTGTGTGCAGGAGCGGCCGACGCGGCGGACAAACCTTCCATCACACGTCTCTCGGCTGCCCAGCACCGCGCAGCACCGCCGGTCGAATCCTGATGAAACTCGGCCCGAATGCGGGTGGGGGTGGTATCGTCGTGTTGCGGTAGCTTTTAACTTGAGCACTGCGCCTCATCGGCTTTTCGTTATTTGCCCCCGTGACACTACATCGAGGGGCCCACAACTGAGTACGAAATCTTGTACTCATGCCTGGCCGATATCCGTATTTCACATGATTTCATGGATTTCTGCTATGGATTTCCTGTAATTTCATTGGCATTTCCAGTGATTTCAGCAATTTTTCCTCTGCGATTTCAGTACGATTTACCATGCTTGCAAGTGAATTCCACAGATTTCAAGTGAAGTCGACTAAAGAAATTCAATTGATTTCAATAACGTATTTCAAGTGATTTTGACAATGACTTCAAATTATTTCAAATCAGAAACTTTCAGGTGTCAATTTCATGGCGATTTCTAGTTATTTCGAGGGATTTCGTGCTATTTCTGTTGAATGCAAACAACGAATTCAAGGCGATATCCTGGGAATTCCCCGACTACAAGGGTTGCACTTGTTCGACCCTGGAACCTCTCTCGAGTGGTGGCTAGGTATGGAATGGAGCCCGCGCAGCCTGGAGCTGGAAGCTGAGCTCCACCACCGGGAGGTCCAGGAGGGTTTTGGGAGAGACAGTTGTTCTGTTGGCCGCGACATGCTCCCCCACACCACACCCCCCGTGCGTACACGTGTCCCGCCGTCACGTGCCGTCACGTCGCCGGCAGCACGGGCCGGCACGCCTTTAGGCACGCTCGCGCGCAACCGCAAAACAAAAATTTCTGTTTCGCCGCTCCTCTCGCAGCTCGCTGTTTTTTGTTGTTGTTGTTGTACCTCTTCCAGCGCAATGGCGAGCATGCGTAACGAGGTGGTGGCCATCATCATGTGTGTGTGAGAGAGAGGGAGAGAGAGGGGAGAGAGAGCGAGCGAGAGAGACAGGGAGACTCGGGCGGGCCGCAGCCTCCAGCTCACGCCATGTGTTCACATTTCGTCTCTGTCACTGTGCGCGCCCGCTGGACCCGCTCCTCCCGCCGCACTCGCACCGCCGCCGCCTCGCGCACGCTTCAGCTTCACTCAGGGTTGGACGGCAGTCAGGTCGACTCGGTCCAGGCCGTTTCTTTTGTGTCCGGCACGGCAAAAGTGCGAAGGAATAGCATTAGAGCGATTTATAAATGGATATAAGGAAGAGTTTCGTTTATTTTTATTTCATTTTTTTCATTTTTTTTTTTTGTGCTAGATGATAGGGTGGTTTGCTAGTAGGGGCTCTGGGCAGGCTTATGGCTCGATAAAATTGCAATTACGTTCAACCTCAGGTGTGAAGCATTCAAAGACTACAATCAAATTTCTTAAAGAGAAGAGATGCTGAAATTATTTTGACATTGAATCTGGCCCCAGAGTTCACAGTGAGTCATTGAGTCCGAACTGACAACTGAGGAAACCAACCGCCCGTGTTTTGATTATAATTTTTGACGCCGCAGCAGCGGGGGCAAAAGTCTCGCCCTGCGCTGCCGACGCGAGGTGGTTGGGGGGAGGGGGGGGAGGCTCGCTGGGGGTCGAGAGAGGTCACGTGGGTCGCGGCGGGTCGTGCGGGTCGCGGTGGAAGCGAGCGGGCAGGCTCGAACGGCCGGAGAAGCCAACGCCCTCCAGGCCGCTGATGTCTGCAGTGCCTCGGCCGCTGCTCCCGCTTGAGGCCCGGTCGCTACCCCGAGTCGCGAACAGTCCATTCACAAAACGGAAGAGCAAGGGGATGAAACTTGTAGAAAAACGATGTCACGTACCTTTGACACGTTCATGTGGACTTCAGGGGGTGGGAAAATGGCGTGACCGTGCACCATCCTGACTGCACACCGCCGTCGCTTCAGCTTTGAGCTGCAACAATCTAAACAAAATGTACCAGGTAAGTGAAAAAAAGTACAGAATAAATTGTAAAAAAATGTAAGGGACCGTACATATACCACGTGGACACCTTTTGGGGGGGGAGGGGGGTCTAGAATTGTCCACGATTGTCCACAGGGGGGAGGGGGGGGGGTAGAGGGCCTTGTCCACGTGGACCTTGTTTTCTGGAAAAACCGCGCCGACCGACAGCTGATCGTCCGCTAGAGCTGCCGGCAGCTGCCGAGCCCGAGCGTTGACTGTCGTGTTTACGTTGGAGGGGAAATAGCGTCTCACCAGAGAGAGCTTTATTAAAATGCGTTTTATTACTTAATTTGTATGTACTGTTTTGTTAAATTTGACCAATGACCAATTTTAATTAAAAGATGATTAAAACATACTTACTTGATATAATAATTGAACATTACGCGCTTCATTTTAAAATTACTGATTTTTCCATGAACAATAGATCGGATAGGTCGAAAACAGCGAAAAGCGAAAA